AMAYAWWAAAAAAGWAAAAAAAGACAASAKCAAAGCCGCTTTGACGATATCGATCATCATAATTCATTAATCATTTTCACAAGATACATTGTCAATAAATGATACAGGCGTTTAGTCAGAATCTAGCATGTAATCAATTGAACAAAAAATTCAAATTGATCTCAAGACTATATCTTGACATCAACACAATCCAGTTAATTTGATCGATCGTTATTTTAGTCACTMTTAAAAATGAACATTTTGATATCTYTATCTTATTCCTTTTTTATATATTGTGTATTTAATGAAATTTTACTTTGGTTCGAGAGGTGTTAAAATGTCGGCGATGTACACTTTGAAAAGTCGACTTCAACCAATATTATTATCCGTCATTTTCCGTCATTGGCCGCATTTGCTACACCGTTACCCCAAAAACAAGTCATTTACTTGCTTCTTTGCAGGTTTTTCCACATACATCCGTTTTCATAAAATCAGTTTTCTGGGATCTCTTTATCAGCCAATATTTCACTAAAACTTGCACGGCGAAAGAGGTTGGGGCAAGGGCAAAGGTTTTTTGGCCATAACCCTAGGGTGTTTTTTTAAAGTGATTTTGGCTCCAAAGAGGAACCATGGAATACTGCTCTTAGAATAAAATTTTGTATTCTATTTGCTCAAATACTTCAAACCCAAGCCATTCCTTTATCTTCTTTTAAATATAATATTTCTAATTAGTTTTTTTCGTTAATAAGTTAATCAGTTAACCTTCTTGCTTGGTTTAATATTTTATTTGCGAGTGACATATTACAATCAAGATCAGTTTTATTTATTATCACTTAGCATTTTATCTATTTATTTTATCTACTTATTTTAGTAAGCTATTAAAAACAATATACGGCGCTTTTAACAGTTTCGTTTTATCCTTATACGTTCATTATTTTAGTAATTCTTTCTTCWTCTTCTTTTGAGGTTTTGGGATACATGAATCTCACTTTATCTACCTTTATTTCCCTTTTCTGTGAGAGGTGTTCAAAGGTCGGTGAGTCAAAGTWAGGCGCGATTTCAGGTGTGCTCCAACATGATTTACTTCGTGTCTTTTCTTTGCGTTAGCGCTGCATCTCGGATCATTGGGAGATGAGGGATAGACGTCGCTCCAGTACAAATAATGGAACCAAACATTCATCTTGGTGTAG